ACAAGTGCCACGCTAGTAGTAACAAGTGCCTTACTAGTAGTAACAAACAGCTATTAGAATTAAAGTTAAAATTAACTTAAATTAATAGCTTCTTGTTACTACTAGTAAGGCACTTGTTACTAGTAGGGATGCACTTGTTCCTAATGGCTTCTTGTTACTACTAGTAACAAGTGCCACGCTAGTAGTAGCAAGTGCCTCACTAGTAGTAACAAAAAGCTATTAGAATTAACTTAAATTAAATTAATAGCTTCTTGTTACTACTAGTAAGGCACTTGTTACTAGTAGAGATGCACTTGTTCCTAATGGCTTCTTGTTACTACTAGTAACAAGTGCCACGCTAGTAGTAACAAGTGCCTTACTAGTAGTAACAAAAAGCTATTAGAATTAAACTTAGATTTAAACTAAATTAATAGCTTCTTGTTACTACTAGTAACAAGTGCCACGCTAGTAGTAACAAGTGCCTTACTAGCAGTAACAAAAAGCTATTAGAATTATACTTAAACTTAAATTAAATTAATAGCTTCTTGTTACTACTAGTAACAAGTGCCACGCTAGTAGTAACAAGTGCCTTACTAGTAGCAACAAAAAGCTATTAGAATTAAATTTAAGTTTAAATTAAATTAAATGCTTCTTGTTACTACTAGTAAGGCACTTGTTACTAGTAGCGATGCACTTGTTCCTAGTAGGGAACATTGTTACTACTAACACAAACCATGCAAAACAAACATTGCAGGTTCTGGAATCTGCACCGTCTTTTCTCGACCTACTATGGATCAAAGTACAAAAAAAGAATACACTAATGGATCAAAGCCCCGACACACCATAATTGCACTTGATCGGTCACCAATGACATACAAAGTCTTGTAGGGTTGAGGCCTGCTCCTCACCGTGCAATCTGTTTCTATAGTCACTCTCAACATCTCGAATCCCGGATTGAAATGGGTAACCTCTGTTCGCGTTCCACTTGTTGATGTGATACCTCCACAACAAGCTGTCATGAACAATGACCAGCGTTGTCGTGCGGACTTGATGATTCTGGGACCGGCCAACACATCAATGGTTGGCCGATTTCCATCAATGTCCATCATTTTTCCCTAGGTTGGAGGCCACCGCTATTAGGTTGGAGGCCATCATTTTTCCATCCCGACGAACATGCAGCTGTTGGGGCAAGTTGCATTTGGTGTTGCCGTCGCTGAGCGCCTTCTGCCCCGCCCGGGAATGGTGGCAAGGACAGGCACAAGTGCCATGGTGCGTCACAAAGACGCTGCTCTAAGCGGTGCAGGGAACCTCGTGGGTCCTCCACCAAGAAGACCACCTGGAAAAACAGAGGCACGGGGGCTTGGAGGTTGAAATGTTGGAAGGGTGTGGAAAGAACATGGGATGAACCAGAGTGCGGTTCTTGAGATTTCTTTTGCCAAAAATGGGTTGGACGGCAACTGATTTGACATTCGCTAATGTGTACATGGGATTTAGCTAACATGTTTGCAACGTCTACAGTTATTCGTTGGAAGCAAGATTTTGGACCGCATAGAGCCCTATTACAGCAGGTCATCCCAATCGGGAGCAAACCTGCCACGTGGGTAGTTCAACTTGTCGAGGAGGAAGCTCATGGTGAGAAACAGTTTTCCTGGGGCCTTGCTTCACGCACTTAAAAAACAACAACAACAACAACAACAACAACAACAACAACAACAACAACAACAACAACCCTGCCAGTAGCGTATATTACACTCACAAAGCACCCGTCAATTACAGGAACTAACATCAACCTATTGTGGATGTTTCTTTTTCCCAAAGTCAAAGGCACAAACATTCTAGCTGTAGCTTTGTTTGGAAGTCTATTGCATCATCGCTATTAGATGCTATTAGCTTCATTTTGATTCGTTCACATCTACGCCGGCCATGGTTGCCCTTTTGGAGTTCTTTCCGAAACCAGGACGTGAGTGGAGGATTATTGTTTCAGCGTGGCAGTCCGGAATTTATGTTTACTAGACAGTTCTGTCGTTGTTTTGCGCGCCAATTGATTCATAAACTCACCTGCCGAGCACGTCAGTCTGTCTCGGCCTCCTGGTTGGGGCGCAGCGGGCGCTGGAAGGCGGGCTCGACATGAAAGGCGTCGCGGGCATCGAAGAGCGAGGAGTTGGGAGCATCGCTCAGGAACTCGGAGAGCCACACCTGGACTAGATGCCGAGTGATGGACTGTTAGGTACAAGGACAAGAGCCAGAAACATCCAGAAATCTACAATCAACAACTCAAAAACACAAAAAATGAAAATGTGAACGCCTAAAGGCCTAAATACAACTCCAACTAGGCACAGGAAAACGCAACTACAAGGGGAAGAAAATATAAACAGCTACCAACAACGAGAACAGCAGCAACAAAAACAACACGCACA